AATGCAAGAAGCGAGCATGTAACTTGAAGTATGAGAGTGGCCTGGGTTGCTTCTTTTAGAGTCAGTTTCTTTGATGAGTTGAAGTGCCGAAACAAATTTCAAATTCCCCAGTACAGCCTCAAAGGCTGGAGTAATAGCAGGCTGCGACAGCGAGGTGGCCCTGTTCCACCGCCCAGCTGTACATCGTGCTGCGCCTCTTGCATCAGGCTGAGGGCTCAGCTGGGTTTTTGAAAGTTGGTTTTTGCAGTGCATCAAGGCTTTCTGGACACGGCATGCACTGCAGCTGCACAGCCCAGCAGGAGGATGGGATAAGTGTCATGAGCACCCCCATTCCAACAGCAGCTTCTCAGACCTGCACTTAAATCCAGTGTTAAGCTGCAGCTACTCTTTGTTTTGAGTCTAAGCTTTGACTCAAATTTGAACAGTAAACCGGTGTTTCATATCGTGCAGTAGCCTGTGTCAAGTGTTCTCAAACTTGACTGGGGCGTGGTAGAGAAAGATGACTGCATGTTGAAAGATAACAAAATACTGCCTTTCTGCCTAGAGATCCTTGTGCTATTTAAGACTTGGCAAAAATTGCTGTCCTCACTATCTCAATTATTTAAGTGCTGAAATATCCCAGATCAGCCAAATTCCATTAAACGAAATGCAAAGGAAAGTTATCTTAAACAAGCAATGTACCAATGTAAAGTTGTTGCATCTACGCCCCAGAGAAGAAAGGACTCACATCAAGAGGGGGGGTGAAGAGGTTAGCTGAACTTAATGTGTCATTTTTTTATTAGATGAGCTTTAACTTAGACTACTGTAAATTGAATGAAAAAACATGGAGAAGGGAGATAAGGAGCTTTTGGGATTAAAAATAAAAATAAACCCCAAAGCCTTCATTACTATCTTACAGCTTTTTCTAAGTAGTACTTTGCTGTTGCAGTTCTGAAATTAATGAAGTATGCATGGATTATTGCTGAATATATTTTACTTCAAAGCTGGTTATTCCCCAGAAGTCAGAGGCTTTGCATGTCTGTTAGCACAGTACTTTCCAGACCACTTTTCTAACACAAACTTCTGGGTTTTGACTCAATGCCAGAGGAGCAAAATAACATCCTTACCTTTGCAGCTGTGACCACAACATAAAATCAAGCAGGAAGAAGAGCTGATGCTGGGGGTTGTTTTCGCTACACTTAAGGCGCCTTGAGATTTGGAGCTCACACAAAGAGATGGGCCCCCTCACACCCTCCCTAAGCAACGTGGCTGTTAGAAAAGCTTTTCTTTAGAGCTTTAGCCAGCACAGGTGACTGCATCTTGTCTGTTAGGCAGCTCAACTTCCCCTGTGTGAGCATTGCTGTCGCACAGCAGCTGCCCCCGTTTGCCTGTGCTGCCTTGCCCAGGCTGCAGCACAGCCCTCGGAGGATGGTTTGGGAGCAGCCCAGCTTGTGGTTCTGCACATTAGGAGGAGGCTCTAGGCACAGCTCTGAAGGATGGCTACATCAGCTCTAGACAACTTCTGTGTATAGACTCCTCTGCTTGTCCAACTCCTGTACAAGTGCCACTAAAACACAAGTCAGCAAGTGATGTGTGTGAATACCTACCTTGAAATGCTTGCATATTCAAGCAAGTGGGAGGGGAGTGGGGGAAGAAAGGCACTAGCTGAATGTTTCTATTTCTCTGTAGTGCTGTGAGTGACTCAGTCTACAGTTTTGGGCGGTGATTTTGCATAACTGAGGAGGTTGCAGAAAAAGGCTATGTTATGTCTCAGTTTCTGGAAGGAGCAGTTGTATGACCATCAGACTGGTGTGGGAGCTAACCTCTTGGAGATGCAGTTTTACTTTTTTCTACTCAGCATATTGGAATAGAAAGTTCTTGAGAGTATACTTCTGAAAAGCCACCTGATACACAAGAATATTGGAATATGTTAGTAAAATTTCAACTCATCAGTTCAGCATAGTTCAGTCTTTTCCCTGTTGTGAGCAACTTGAGAAAGCATCACCAGGTATTTTATTGTGACATTTGTCTTTTAGCATGTTATGAGGATCTTTTCTGGTTTTAGAATGTTGTAAGTGACAGAACCCTTTCATCTGCTGTGGTGCAGTGGTGGTTTTTTAACAACTGCACAGCTGTAATAGTAGTTGAATTTAACCACCCCAACCCCCTTTCCCCAGGGCAGAGTAATTGGCTTTTCTTGGTGTTTAAGTGTTTTCACTAAGTGTTTGCATAGCATACCACCAGCTAAAATACAAAGTCCCTATTTCCAGGGCTCTCTGAGAGTACTCTGCATGTCTTCAGTACACAGCAGATAATAGAGGCTTTGCCCTGCCTTTTTTACCCCTCCCTTCACTGAATAAAAAGTCAGTCCTGCTATTAATTTGATCACTACATTAAACATAGTAAGCCCAATTACCCATTACATCAAAATGTATTCTGCCATCATGATATTAGACCTCTTATGGATCAGACTGGAGGCAAGTGAAGAGGGAATGTTTTGTTTTTTCCGATCTGTAGCTGTATCTGCTTTGAAGATTGGCTTTGCAAGCTTCTCCCATTAACTAACAAAGAGATAGAAATCTTCCACATCCCTGTGTGCCTTCTCCAGATGTGGATTAAGTTCATTAATGGCAACAGTAATCTCCAAGACTGTCTGACAGGTGTTGATCTGTGCACCAGCACTAGTGCACATTCTCACTTTGATGATGTTAAATGAGTGAGAGCCCAGAGCGTGGGTTTGAAGCAGATTGTCTCCATGAACTGCGCTTTGACTTGAACACGAAGGTCTCAGATAGGTCACCAGAGGCTGCACCACCAGTGAATGCTCAACACTCTCCACAACTCAATGGTGAGGGAAGGCAAGGAGCTAACCTAAACCAACCACACACGCAGAACCCAGAGTGGGAACACAGCCCTCAGCATCAGGTATTTTCATTTGCAGACTCGTGCTTATTCCTGATATGGACATAGCCAGCAATAATTATAAGAATCCACTCTAGCATTAAAGTAATTAAAATTGACCTCTTGAACTCCCCCAGAGGGAAGACCCATAAGAAGTAGGAATATCCATAAGAAAATTTGATCCAACAGGAGTCTACAAGAGTCCCAAAAGACCACACAACACTCCTTTTCAGTCTTTTAGCAGTCTACAGGAGCCTCTACAACTGGTTGTGTGGTATTGGTGAACACCAGAAACTGAAGGTATAAACACAGGGTGATACAACAAGACCTGGACTACTCAAAAAGACATGGTCATCTAAACAACATTCATTTTGGGATCCCTTGCCTGAGGCTGGGAAATGTATGTAAGTTACCTGAGAGGTAGGCTAAAATAAAAAGATACTCAGAGTACAGAGGCATTTATGGATACAGATAGTTCAGCTTGGTAATAAGTAAGTAGAAGGAATAAAAGTCTTGGCAGAGATAAAAATAAATAGATTTGTCCTGTCATGGCAGAAGAGAACCACGAAAAAAGTTTTAACATTAAAACCAGGCACAGAAACAAAAGTTAAAAGGTTAGAGAACTGCAAAAACCTGCTCTGGAAAGCATGTGAGATAAGAGTGATTAGGATTCATTTAGGGGCTTAGGGGAAATTCAGATACTTTCCATACAGGTGTGGGTTTTTTTAGAGATGCCTCCTGGGAGAAAAAGTGTAAGCCAGTAGAGACAGACCTTGCCAGGTAAAGAGTCAAGGATAATTTAGATGGACACACAGTGAGGAAAGCAAGCATGCAATACCTTATTTAACAGGATGATGTTTTTCCCTGAGGTCTGAAAATGAGGAACACTATTATCTTGAAAATCCTTCATGTCTTGTCAGCACAATACAGACATCACTAAGTCTAGGATAGCCTTGCTTACTCTGATTTCTGGTATAATTTTCTTCTGGCTCCTCCACAAAATTAAAATTTCTTCAAAATACATGGTTAGCATCCCTTCAGTGGCCTTGGTGGTATTGGTTGTCCAGTAAGAACCTTATTAATGAGCATTCTGAGGAAGGAGACACAGCCTACCTGTTCATGAAAGTGACACAGCACTGTTTTTGCATTATTTACCACACATATAACTTATAGTCAATAAAATCTCTAGGCTTGAATTTTTGCCTTGGCACCTTAATACCATCTCTCCTTAGGATCCTGAGAGCAGCAACATGATGTAGTTCATACACCAACACATTTTGACTACTGAGTTTGGATGGAAGAATGATGTTGCTTGTTCCAGTAGGACTGGAAAGCAACTGTCAACACTTAGAACTATAATGTGAGCTGCACGTGAGTTATTAGACTGCAGCTAGCTAAGCTTAATCCTGGCATCCAGGAACATTTCCTTGGATTTTACTGGACAGATACATTTGTGGACACAGCTGTACAAGCACTGAGAGAGAAAACTACAAGCCTACGTGCTTCAGAGCCTGCAGTCCAGTTAAAAACATACAGCATGCTAGCACAAGTGAAAGGGAGAGCTGCTGTGTGCAACTTGATCATTACATTTGGTCTAGCAGTTGCATAGACACAAAACTGCTCTACAAGTGCTGTAGTGCAACATTTCTACACGTAGCATGGTTAGAGAACCCACCTTAACAGGTGCTTCAGAATAAATAGTACTTCTAAGATTTCCTGTGCTGAATAGGAGTGAATTGAGAAGATGGAGGCCATCACACACCACTTGGAAAAGGGTAATTAATAGCTTACCAAGATCCCCATATATACCACATAACAGCCTTCAATCTTTGTCAAACATAAAAATATATCAAAATTTGAGGCCTAGAAGATTTTCACTTAATTTCCTACCTAAAGTAGCTGTAGGCTTTTGCTTTAAAATTACTCTTAATGCTAGAAGCTCACAGGTACCTTCTCTCAAATTTTGGTGCCTCTCCCTTGCTACTCTTTCTAACCTTTCTTCTTTGAGTCTCACAGGTGCAAAGCTTTCAGTTGAATTAACTCTGCCTTATCCAGAAGTGGTGAGGAACTTGTTTCTCTGAAACAAGTCTTGTTAGGTATGAAGGACTAATGCTTAAAAAAATAAATTGCCTGAATTTCTGTTACTTTGAGAGTTTACGGATTTGTTTGTTTGGTTTGTTTTTGCAGTCAAAATTCCACAGGCTTCTGAGTAAATGAGTTAACACTGTTAAACACAGGATGTTTGCTACCCACATTTATTACAAAATCTACAGTGATCTCCACAGAGCTTCCATTTAATTGGAGTTTTGCCACCAACTTAAATAGGTAGCTCAAGTCCAAGTTCATTAACAGTATGGAAAGGTTTACTCCAAGTGTAGGATGTAGTAGAAAGATTAAAAGCTGAGCAGTTGCCTTTACATGGTGAGCATGCCTGAGCTTGATGAGGTTATTTCCTGAACCTAAACTATAAACAAGGAGCTGGGCAAAGTTGCAAACCTGCATATGGGATGCATCTGCTGGAAATTATGACAAAAACTAACAATCTTCACCTCACTGAAGTCAGTGAAACATTTTCCGTGTACTTGATTGGAGCCAGGATTTTGCTATAGGCACTTACATTTCAGTTTTGCAGGAATTAATGCACATCACACAGTAAATACCTCTGAAAAATGTTTTAGCTTCTCTCCTTCCCAGTTCTTGTTTTTCTCTAGGCTGAGTTTTAAATAGCTTTCCTAAACCTTTTCCATCTCCATTCCCCTTTTTAAATCAGAAGTTGAATAGATATCCTTTCAGCATTCTGCTTGAGCAACACCAATGGCATCACTTTTACACTGTATTAATCATTATGCACAATAATATGGTGTCTTCCATCAGAATTGCAAAGCAGTTAACATATATTAATTAAGTACTGCATCTCTGAGAGGCGTGTAAGTAATTAATTTTGTAAGCCAATGCCATTTAAAGGTGAGAGAAAGGTGGATTCTCATCTTAGTGAATAGCCTCTTACTCGTTTACAGTTATTTTCTTCCTGGGTGTCTAGACCTGAAGTAAGTTCCTTATGCAGCTTTTGTAATGGCATCAGTAACAGGCACATTTGTGAAGCTGAAATTCAAGACATCTCTTGTATTTCCATTATGTGAAAGCATGTCCTCTCAAATGAATTGTCAAATGTGATTGTGGTAAATCAAGTCAGTAGAAAAGACAGGGGAAGAATTTGACACTTAAGCTCCAGCCCTGCCTTCACTTCATCAGAACAGGTGCTCCTAAACTTTTGGTATCCTGTGTTTGCTTTTTTGCAGGTAGCAAAGATCTTCCTAGATGCTATAGGCTTCCTTTTTCCCAGGCTCATTTACTCTTTGCACCTGGAAATCATATTTAGGCATATTTTGAGGGCTTCATAAATTTGTCTGGGCTTTCCAGATGTGTGGTAGCTGGAGAGAGCAGACTCTTCTGAGCTGGTTGCTGCATGCCTGGGAAGTCTGGATGTGAGCACTGTGAGCACACACAGCAGTTACAGGACATGAAGCCCCTCACAGGAGCAGCTCTGTGTGAATGCTGTGCTGTCCAGCCGTGCGTATGAAGTGCAGCACATCAGAAACAGCAGACTTGATGTAGACATGGCTATGCAGTCAGGCCCACTCTTTCATGGGGGAACTACACAGTTATTTGCATATGGATTATACATCTCCTGCTCCTGTGTGTTGCAGCTGCTGCATATATACACATATATACACAGTTTTTTCTACCCATGAAATCCTCTGCAGATCTATGGGATTTCTACCTTTCTAGTTTGCACCCTGATATACACGCTCCTCCAAAGAACAGGATCCTTACTTGTTCTACTTCTCCTGTCAATTCCCCCTTCCCTTCTAATAACAAGTCCTTGCAATAAGACAGTTGTTCCATGAGACACCCTCAGACAATTTCAGTTTGCACAGAAGAGAGACATGGCAGTCTTTTTTCTCTCCTCAGGAGTCCTTGGCCTTGGTGATTCTGCTGCTTACCGTGCCCTGGTTCTGACGTGTTGGATCTCTCCATTAGGCACTTTGACCTGTTAGCCTGGAAGAAAAACAGCAGGAAGGTGGGTAGCTTTCTCTGGTGCGGTGAGATAAATAGCTGACTAAATGACAGATATGAGGTAGAGGATCAGCAAATTTGCCAATGATACCAAGCTGTGAGGTGTGGAGGGAAGCGATGATGTTTGGCAGGCTTGAGAGGTAAGCCTGTGTGAACCTCATGAAGTCCAACAAGGCCAAGTGCAAGGTGTTGCAGATGGGTTGGGGCAATCCCGAGCACAAATAGGCCGGGAAGAAAATGGATTGAGAGCAGCCCTGGGGAGGAGGAGTTGGGGGTGTTGCTAGACGAGAATCTTGACATGACCCAGTGTGCGCCTGCAGCCCAAAAATCCAACCATGTCCTGGGCTGCATCCAAAGCAGTGTGGCCAGCAGGGCCAGGGAGGGGATCCTGCCCCTCTGCTCTGTTCTCATGAGACCTTATGTAAAATGCTTTGTCCAACATAAGAAGGACATGGACCTGTTAGGACAAATCCGGAGGAGGGCTCTAAAGATGCTCAAAGGGCTGGAGTACCTCTCCTGTGACAACAGGCTGAGAGAGTTGGGGATGTTCTGCCTAGAGAGGGAGACTTCTAGGAAGACCTTAGAGCAGCTTTCCTGCACCTAAAGGAGAACTTTAAACATCTGGAGAGAGACTTTTTACAAGGGCCTGTGATGATAGGACAAAGGGGGATAGTTTTAAGCTGAGAGTGGGTTTACGTTAGGCATTAGGAAGAAATTCTTTACTGTGAGGAAGTTAAAAAATTGAAACAGGTTGTCCAGAGAGATGCCTCGTCCCTGAAAGTATTCAAACCCAGATCGGGTGGGACTTGAGCATCCTGATCTAGTGGGTAGCATCCCTGGCCATGGCAGGGGGTTTGGAACTAGGTGATCTTTGAAGTCCCTTCCAACCCAAATGATTTCTGTCATTCTATGATCAGGGGGGTACTGAGATGTTGCAAGTGCAGCTGAGAGAATGGCAAAGAGATTGAGAGACCTGACCTCTCACTTTTGCAAGGGACTTGATAGATCAACTTAGCTGCCTGTGAAGTGGTAATTTGGCTTGTTTCTTTTACAGAACAGAGGTTTTACATGGCCTCTTTTTCTCTACTCGGAAATATCATTCAGTCTGGGAAAATTTGGGTGGATTCAGTTTTCCGTCACACCACCACATTAGAGTAATATATTTAGAAGGGTTATCAAGGATTTTCTACATTACTTTCCTACAGGCATTTGTATATAAACTTTCTTCCATCTGTTTTGGTGGCCTCACACCAGTTGGGTTGTTTTTCACTGCTATTCATATGTTGGAGGCTAAAACCATTGCTATAATCATGTTAATAAACCTTTATGATTTTAAAACATGCTTATTCTGATTCAATGTTATCCTCAAAAGTACTTTGAATCCATTATCTTGCTCTGTTGAATTAGTTTTGAAATTTTACCTAAAGCTAAATACACCTCCCATGTTTTGTTGAAACTACTTTGAAATTAAACAGAAATTTGAGAAGCTTCTGTTGGCTGCCTCAGAGTGTCAAGCACATGAAATATTCCTCCCACCCCTCTGGAAAATTAGGAACTAAAGAAATAATTTTTCCCCCACTTTTCCCCTTATAGCTAGATTTGAACTGGTAGAACATAAAATCACAATATGATGAAATTCTGATTGTTCTCTCAGTATTGTTTGAGAAATTATGGAGGACTTCAGTGCATTAATAAAGCAGTTCAGACACCCGTCTGCCACAGTAGTGGAGCTCAGAAGATCAAAAAAACATTCTCATCTGCTTGACACACACACACACACACACACACACACACACACACAGTGTTTGTTCATTAATAGCATAATTTTAGTGTAGGTTATAACTGTACACATTGTACAACAAAGCGTTGCCATGAAGTCCCTTGTCCCTAGGGAACAGAAGGAGAAGAAAAAAAGTGGTTGATTAAAGCATTCTCAGCAGCTGAGAACATCCCTAACACTGACATGTTTTACTGTGAACTGAGAAAGGGTGGGAAGAATGACTGCTCACCATCATCTTCATTTGATGGTATTGTTCAGAATAAATCCCCCACTGGTAGAATAATCCCTGATAAGAGGCATTCTAGCTTTCAGAAGTCATGCTCTCAAAGCATACACAGGGGGGAGATGTTGTAGTATCAGTGCTCAAAAAAATATGCATGAATTGGTGTGGGGTTGCCTATCTGTTTCGGTGACAGAAAGTGAAGGTCTAGATATGTGTGTCTTAAACCAAATATGAGCCATTTTAGGTTCTGAAGTAAAAGAGAGTTTGTCCTTCCCTGACAGAGACAAGATCCATTGTGTTTTTCCTGATACTCATTCCATAGGGTCTCTAAAGACCCAAACTTAACTGAAAAGCAAAAGGCCCATGGCAAGGAGTGGAGGGGTTGGAACTAAACAACCTTTAAGGTCCCTTCCAACACAGACCGTTCCATCATTCTATGATTTGCTTACTGCTTTTGCAATTTTAGAAAATAAATTTTCTCACCTCTAGTTTAGGGAAATCCCAGTTGTAATGAGGTTAACTGGGTGGATTCCATATCCCACTCACTCCTTGCATGGTAGCATTGACTTAGTGGCAGAGCCCCAGAAACGAGTCTGGCCCTTTGTCTCCATGAAAGTGAAAGTGTGCTAGGCAGGCATTTCAGCACGCAGGGTAACATGCCTTTGGATCACACACAGCTAATCCTCTTTATACTTTGCTGACTGTGACCTGCTTAGTCTTACATGAAATGTATTCGTCGTCTTTTCCTGAGCCTGATCCAAAGCCCGTTGAAGTCGGTGGAAAGAGTCCAGATATTTTTTCACTAGTTTTGGAGCTGTCTCTATATGAACAGCTGGTCTAGCACTGAGTCTTGTAGTTGAAAGACAAGGAAAATAAGCAGCAACAAACCACATTGGACTCCATGCTGTATTAAATATATAAATGAAAGTAATGTGAAACTTGTAAAACCAGACTGGACAAAACACTCTGAAACATGCTGCAGGGAACAGTCTAGTGCTAGCAGGGGAATAAGTTAGCTATTTAATGATTTCTTTTCCATAGCTTTTACTTTTCCACATATTCTGTAATGTAACAGTACTTTTTTCTCCTTGGGCAAATAGCTGTCAGACAGCAGCACTGGAATGAGAACATATGTAGTGTTTGCTTTTATCTTACATTACAAAAGAAGTATGAATACCTTCTGTTATTCCAAGTATAAAATTACAGATGTCAAATCACTCGGTGCTTTAAATCCTGTGCCAGAAAAGTAATCCAGTAAAAATAGCTATGTCCTGTCAAAGCTGAGCAGTAAGTATTGTTATTACAGTTTCTTGCATGGCTCCAACAGTGTAAGATGGCAAAAATAAGTGTAAGAGACCAGCAAGAAACTTGCCTGGAATCACCCAGAGCATAGAAAGACAGGAGGATGGAAATGAGGTAAACCTAATGACCCAAAGTGAGAGTCTGCCTAGTCTGATTTACAGTTGGTTTGTACTTTAAAAATGCTGTTAAACAAAAGCTGGTTAGCATCTTAGGGGCTGATTATTGCCCAGAGATCCCAAAGAGTTAAATTAAAGATTAATTTGTGCTGGGTTCTGAGTGAGTATGTGGTTGATCCTCTGTCCTAAGAAGTGTACCATTTAAAAAGTAGAAGAATGTTTAGCTGGAAAAGTTGAAGAATTTTACCATCTCTACATTACGGTGGGAATGCAAAACAGGGGTGAAGGAGTTTTGGCTGGGTTAAACAGTTGGGGTCTGAGTTGTCTGTGGCAGTGAACCCCTAAGTCCTGTCAAGTGCTTTGCAAACAAGGCCATCCATACCTAACTATGGTGTGGATGTGAAGTTGTGAATGAATGTACATGGTGAGGTTTCCTGTGGACCTGAAGTAAAATAAGAGATACAAGAACAGGTCATAGCAGAGCTGTGGGTTTTCATATGTGAATTTCTCTCAAAAGATTATGAAGAGCCAGACACACTTTATACAGCTTCTGGAATTTAGGTTAATACTTTTGTTGTCCATTCCACAAAAGCCAGGACAGAAGAAAACTTAAATAGTAGATTATGTCTGCTAGGGGGCAGAAGAATCACTGCATTTAGTGCTCTTTTCAGGTCTTCAGAGCTACAGTGAAACCTGGACAGAGACAGCTTGATTTGCTAAATTGGGAACATACTGCTTCAGTCAGTATGGATGTTAGGAAGCTAATTAAAGGACATAGCAGCTGACAAGTGAATCTTCAATTCCTGTCAAATCCCTTAAGTTTATGACAAGTGTGAAGTAGTTCATATAGAAAAGAAATTTTTACTCCTGAGTTCACATGTTTCCAGATGAGATGTGTTTATTTTCATGGTAATAATCAGAACACATTTTACTTAATGTTTTTAGGATGAATTTTGTCTGCTTTATAAATCTCTCCCCAAATCCCAGCTCTCTTCTCCTACTTCTTGACAACCATGGGAGTCATATTAGTTGTCCACACTGGTATTTTAAGTAAGTGGCATGAAGGGTGTGTCAGGCTGCATAGTATGCTGCTGAACAGCAGACCAGATCCTGGTGCTTAGAGGCTGCACTTGTGCTGAAAGGTCAGAAACACCAAGGACATGTAGTGCACCAAAACTTGCCTGTCCTGAGATAGTGAGGAACAGTCACACGTGTTGATTTACAGAAAAAACTTTGTTTGGTTCTTTTTTTTTTCCTTTGCAAACCACATGCTCTTGCTGAATATAAGTATCTCATGCTGCAATGATTAAATCCATTTTAGGTACGTTTCCATTAATCTGTGAAAAGACTGTGCCAAAACCCAGAATGAAAGATAAATTGTGAGGTTTTTTTAATTTCTGAAAAAAATTAGTAGTAGGTTGTCAGGACATCAAAGGATGCATCTAGTGTACCTCGGTATGCTGTAACGTGAGCTATTTGTTCAAAAGTTAGCTCTAGTTAACTAACATGACTATTCATTCTAAAATAAGCACTCAGGCAGTGTTTGCTCCCAGGCAAATACTTGTTCTGCTACAGTTCCTTCT